AAGCAAATTAAATTAAGTCAATAAATTCACACCAGTTACACATGCAAACATAACTCATAATACTTAGAATTTTATGTTTAGTAACATTATAAATCACTCAAATACATCATCCAATAAATTAAAGTGAAATTACACACTCATTGCAAGATGCTTTTGGCCATCCAACATGTGCATGAAGAACAACTGTGAAGAAAACACAGTAGCACCACACAAGATTTACTGATGAGGAGAAACAATAAGTAAAGAAATATAAATACAAAATACCAAAGCTAGGACTATTAAATATGGTTTTGCAGCGACCCCAACATAAGTTCAGCAGAGATACTCAGATCAACTCTAATTTAGGTCAGAGAGTCCAGGCTATATATATACTCTATTATAAATTGCAAAAAAGGAAAAAGAGTTCTTTCTTTAATCCTATCTCCAGGGGCCTGTGACCTTGTTCAGATCTCATTGTAGGAGTCAGACAGAGTGAATCTTATATAAATGCAGAGCTTCTTTCCACCAACTGCTTACATAGGCTGCTCAATGCTTTTCCAGACCATTGGGAAGTAGTTTATGGGGGAAATAGCTTTTTTACTTTCTTTTTTTTTTTCGATGGTGAAATGGATGAATGTAAACAAAAGGCTTCAGAAAGGGAGTTTGTGGTAATAATCTGGGCTAATAAATGCAATCTTGAAGTCCTGAAGTGCAAAACGCCAGACAGCAGCCATCAGCACCTCTGCCTAACAGTCACTCGTTACCATCTAATCTGGACCACTTGACTAGAAAACATTTGCAAGCCTACATGTTTTCCATGTTAGAGAGGCTGCTGAGGTGAGGACTGTATGAATTGATTGCTGTGGTTTGCTCAGTGGAAGCTGCTGAGTGTCTTAGGCGTCATACACACTTTGGTTTACTCTTCACAAATGGTTTAAATTAAAATGCAAGAATCATAAAGCCACAGGTTTATCTAGTACGATTATAAGTGGAAAACAAACTAAATATCCATTATTTAAAGCAACTGTAAGTAGTAAGTAGTTGTGTAAGTAGTTGTGACCTTGGAACCCCCTACAGTTAAGTGAGTGGAATTCACTGTCTAAATATATAACTAATAAATATATAACGTAATTAGACTAGATAGTTGTACACATGCATTTGTTTCTGCCATAAGGAACATTCTCAGAATTTTGGCTAACATTCTGACAAGGTTCTCTCAAAGTTGATCAACAAACAGTCTTCCAGTAACATTAACAGAGTGTTTGTTCAGTTTCATCTGGTCTTTAATGTTCTCAAAACGTCAATACAAAACATTATTTATACATCATTCATGGATTTTTTTTTTTTGCTGGAATGTTTTTTAAATGTTGCTACTTGTACAGAACATTCAGGTACATTTAAAAGTAGCGCTGCAATAATGTTTGCAAAATTATAAAGAATGTTTTGCAAAACCGAGAGAAAAGCGTTTTTAAAATATTTAAATACATTGGACGTTTCGAACATTCAGAGAACATCCAGAAATAAAATTTTCTTTACTTAATGAGAGTAACAAAATGTTCTTTGAACATATTTTTGTACGCTGGGCCCACCCGTTTCACAGAATTTGTACCAAATTACATAATCTCAGAACAGATGTTCAGGGGAGTGTGGGAAAGAAAGAAAAAAAAGTACGTACAGTTGCTTTAATTAAAATTATACAAATGCAGTTTTAGGGGCAGTGAGAAATATTTAAAGTCTGAAAATTTTCTAAATGAATCTGCCATTTGCAGGTGCATTGGTAAACAGTAAAACAATTAACCGTATGAGCTTTACAATGCAACTATTAATGTAATAATGGGTCAACATAATAACTATTCAATAAAACAGGAAAGGGAAGGGCAGTGAAGACGTGACAATGTAATCACAAATAATATGTATGACCTGATGGCTTTAGCTGATAAGATAACTTATCATTTATATAACACTGGATTATGTCACCCGACGGCGTCCAGACAGCAAATCACACGCAAGTCAGCAGACACACTATTGACCTACATGATAACTGTGAGTGGCTGGATATACAGAATGTGTTCACTGCTAAACGTGTCACCGCTAAATGAAGAGTTGCTAATCAGGTGAACATTCTGGCAACATCAGTAAATATGCAAACCCACCTCGTAGTACATCATAAACTCGTCTATGAAGCACATTTACCTCAAAATTAAAAGGTAAATGTATCTCTCAGGAGAGATAGAGAGAGTGACAGTGCATTTGAACTGCTTCGGAGACCATTATCTGAGAATGTGTATGTAACTTCGACTACACAGCAGCCTTTAAAAGCAATGGAGCGTTCTGGCTGAGCACTTTCCCAAAACTAATCTTGTTAAAAGCGTTTCCCCTCTAAACCCTAAAGCATCTCTGAAATCCAGCAGAAAGGCAAATCTGCATCTGAAAGGTACAGTTCATTAAAGCCACGGGCTCTAAGACCAGAATTTAAAAGACAAATTTTCACATTAATATGGGTTACTGTAGCCTGCATGGAAAGTGAGGATCATTTAAAATGAAATATTTCTATCAAAGGAGCCTATTTTATATTAAGAAAGCATGCAGACAATCACAACCCTGAATATTCACATGTGGATAGAGAAACGTGGCGCAACACAAAAGCATGAGAAATCATACAGTCAAGATCCTTTGTTGAGCGCACTTTCTTATTAACATTCAATAATATATATACAAACAAATATATGTATTGGCCATACAGTGCTGGAAAAAAAAATCTACAAATGTATTCAATCAGCAGCAAGAAAGATGTAATTGGTTCTCAAAGTGCTTGATTTATTATAATGTTGGCGGGAATACCTAAAACGCAAAGCTGAAGTGTTTAACTTAAAAAAAATAAAAATAAATTATAGTTGCATAACATTAAAGATTTTTCCTGGTTTTACATTAAGATTAAGTAAGCCGTTGATAACAGCAAAGGTAAAGATAAATGCCATCTTTATCAAATCTGAAAATTAATATATATTTTTAGACAGTACATTATAATGTCATGATGCCTAAATTCACTTTAATCATTCAGAATGACTGATTTTAGCTTTTTATTGTTTTATTTTTAATATATTTCAATGAAGTAGTATTAGAAAGTATCATACATTTATCATTTATCATTTATCAGCCATTACAATTAAAATATTTTTACATACAGTAAATACATAAAAAAATTATACACTTGACCTTTAAAGAAACATTAAAATATCAACTTTTCTGTCCTAGAGTGATTACACCTGTAGACAAGGCTCTACCTTTCATAGAACAAAATTTCTGGCTATGTAAAAACTAGGCGTTTGAATCTTCACGTCACATTGTGTTGTTTTTGATCTTGTGCAGACGCAGGGAACTGTTTATTCCTATGGCCTACAGCACAACCTTTTTATGGATGAAACAGGGATGGATGTATCTGAATACATATTCTGAGCAGTGTCAATCCATAACTGAGACACTGATCGCTGCTTTCCCCACAGAACTGTCATATTCTTCCCTGAGAGGAGAGGATTATCTCCACACCACTGAAAGAAGCCTTAAAGGGTGTCCTGTAAAAATAATGACCCTGTTTACCCCGTAGCCTGTGGTTGCCCATTTTTCATCTCAAAACAGGCAAAAGTACAACAAATACAATGCAGCCAAATTTCAGGTGTCAGCTGTAATTGCATGCAGGTTCATTTTTGAGCCCTGTGTAAAGGAGACAAAAAGGAAGAAGGGATAAGTCAGATGTCCAAGAGTCAGTTAAGATGGTGTCCTGAAGTTTAAATAAGTGGTAGTGCAGCCCATATTCAGTCAATCCCAGCAGCTTTCGCAGTGACAGAGGCTGCCTCCACCGAAGCACCTGGGAGCTGTCTGGATGGGCCGCCGCTGCGACCTTCTGAGAGGAGGGCAGGACTGGACTCTGTCGTCACAATGATGGAAGGGATCCGAGCCAACGGTCTTTTCTCATCAACGTTCTCTGAGACCATATTTGCCTTAATGTGACAGAGAAAGGATAGTTAGTGAGCTGAAAATGGTGAAACTGATAAAACTGTAAAATCATTTGTAACATTACTTCTGTCACTTTTCGTCAATTATATGCATCCATGCTGAATAAAAGTGTGTGTGTGTGTGTACCTGTTTATGCTACATTGTGAGGACCAAATGTCCCCACAAAGAAACCTGAAATTTTTGACATTGTGGGGACCGGCCTGTGGTCCACACAAGGGGGAAAAAAAATAAAAAAATAGTAAATGATGTTTATCTGAAAGTGTATGCAAACAGGTTTTCTGTAAGGAGTAGGTTTAGGGTTAGGGGATATAAAATATTGTTTGGTCAGTATAAAAGTAACAGAAGTCTATGGAAAGTCCCCACAATTCACAGAAACAAACGTGTTTGTGTGTGTGTGTTTTATTAATATGTATACTTGATGAGATCAGGCTGGGAGTGCATAAGCAGGTATTAGACTTGCTTGTTGGAATCAATGAAAACTCCCACAGTGCACTGGAACCAAATCTTGCCACATTCATGTTGATGCTCAGCAATACAGGAATGTTTTTCAGAACTTTCTGGACTAGAGTTTGTGTTTACATTCACTGACAGGTTTGCTTCCTGTCATCGCTTCTAGCGTTGGGTTCCAGTCGCTACAGCTATAATAATGACACACTGGGCTAACTTTGTGACAGTGTAGCTTGGCCTCTCTGATTAAAACTCCTGCGTCTGAACACAAGACAATTTGGATTCTTAATTTGATCTCATGTGGGTTGGTTTCATTTAAAGTCTGGTTTTTGTGTATCTCTTCTCTCTGAGGATCAAGCTATTGCTGTTTTCTTCCTCAGAATGTGATTAACTTAGTGTATTGAAATCTTGTATGCTTATTATGTACAGTATGCTTAACCAAACAGCTCCTTCATAACACAAAAGATTAATAAATAGGAACATATACCCCCATTGGACCTGTTTGGAGGGGACTAGTGTCTGAAGAGTTTAGTAAAATTGTGTTTCACAAATGGACTTTCAGTCCCGTATTAATCAAACACATCAGTTTTCTCTCACACAACCTCAAAAAAAGATTACAGAACAAATTAAATACAGTTTTTTTTTCAGCATCCTCTGAGAAATCTGCTCCAGGAATATCGAAGACTGTTGTATTATTATTATTTCTCCTCCTATATTTGACCTTTCTTGAAAAAGTGTCATTCACTTAGATAAATTCCCTCTCTTAGTGACATAATCACATGTAAATCTGGTTTCGTGATGCACAGATCTTCCGTTACAGCCATTTCCAGACAACAGACACTTGCATGTTAATAACTACAGAGATCTACCGTTTTTGTCCAAATGGACAAAACCCAGTGGACTCACTAATGCCGTTCATCTCGATGACATGGGATGAGCTTCTGTTTATGGGGATTATTTCTCTAAAACCAGCAGATTAGAGCAGAAGAATTAAGGCAGGCTTAATCTCAATGTAATGGACCCTCTTTCATGTCTGCTCTTTAAAGAAACGCCCCGCGCACTGACCCACACTGTACCATCTACATCTTTCACTTGCTCTACTGGCTCATGACCTGATTAGCATTATATTAACAAAACGGAGCCTTTGGGAGCCAAATCAATTTGATTTGACATTTGTTCTTCTAAAACTTGTAAAAAAAAGTGGAAACTAGAAACAATGTGACATTATATATCCTGTTGACTGGTAAATGATAAGCATAAAAGCAGGATTTGTCTCAGTTCATTAACATGAGAGAGTGATTGTCTGACTATTGCTCTCTATGTTGTACAATCGCTCCAGTGAAGCAGATCTCAAATGGTGGGTCTCAATCCAAAAATTGGTCTCAAGTCTGTTCTGATAAAGCTGTGGACAAAAAAAAAATTTTAATGCTAAATTATGAAACCCAACAAACCATGTAATCATAGTTTAAAATTAAAAAATAAAATATTAAATACAAAATGAAAATTCTTCCTCTTTATAGAAGCTACATAAATGCAATCAAATAATTAAAATATAAAAATTAAATATAAAAAAATTTTTTTAAACAAGGTAACATATTTTATTGATTTATATTTATTCAATAATACTGATAAAATGCAGGACTGCACTGGTTGTCCTTATCATTAAAAATGAACAGCTCATAAGAGTTAGGAATCCAATTACGCTGGCTGCACTTTATGTGTTTGATTCACTAAAAAGAACTGGCTCATAAGAGTCATTAGTTCTGTAAAACAGATCATACTGGCTGCGCTGTATGTGTTTGATTCATTAAAAAATATCTCATGAGAGTCATTCATTTGGGAATCGGACTATATTGGTTGTGCTATATGTGTTTGATTCACTAAAAGGAACCAGCTCATAAAAGTCATTCACTCAGGAATCAGAGAGACAATTTTCGATAATAACTTTCGATAATGATAAGTTTCCCTTGTGATGTATCATCATTATTCAGCAGTACCAGTACCAGGCTAAATTAAAAAATACATCTTCATCTAGAGAGTTAAAGCAAGAAGAGCAGTGTGTAGATCTCAGAAAAGTGATAGCTCTGCTTCATCTAAGAAAAAATGGTGAACGAAGCACAAATCTCCCTCAAATTGAATTAATGTACAGTCAAAAGAAATCACAGAAAGAACATCATTAGCACATATAACCATGCACACTCTTGAACACTCTTGTCATTTGTCACAGAACTACGCTGACTGAAACCAGGGCAGTGAACTGTCTTCAAGATATGAAGGATGGAATGAAATTTCCAAATGAATTTTAAATCTGATGGAGTCGTTTCCTCTCTAAAATGAATGTGGTCTTCCTAATTTCATATATCAAGGAGCGCTGAGTGAGCTGGGAAGCTTTTGATTAATGAGGTGAGATATAACACTTCTTGAAGACTCTCACTTACGCTGATGTATGTACAGGTCCGGTTCAAGTTTGGCTCAGTTAGACTCTGGGCAGAGGTTCTGTCGAAGATACCCGAGTCTCTGCTCTTGACCTTCAGCCTCAGAGAGCTGGTGTACTTGAAGTCTGACAAATCTTTACGGATGTCAGATGAGACCTGACGACTAGCAGGGCGTGAACTCACGCTGGAGAGATCGGCCTCTGTGTCCGTCCAGCCCTGTCCATAAAAAACACACTGAATGCTGATCAAACAGCTTAAATAGAAATCCAAAAAAATAATTGTGAGGTTGCTGTTATCTTTTGGATGAGGACGGACAGAAACATACTTTACACAAATGCAAACGAGAATGCTTGGCCATGTTTCACCTAAAAATTTAAATTAACTATGCCTCAATAAACTCTTAATTTGGTGCTTATTAATAGTTAGTAAGGTAATTGTTAAGTTTAGGTATTGGGTATTGGGTATTGGAATTAGGGATGTAGAATATGGTCATGCAGAATATGTAAGCACCAATAAATAGTAAATATGTTAATAATAGGCATGCTAATGGCCAACTAGCTAATAGTGAGAATTGGTCCCTATACAAAAGTGTTATTGTCTGTTATAATCAAATTCTCTTGGTGATGTCCTCATGCAGCTAATGCAATGCACACAGTACTTTTATCACATCATTAATCACAGAGAGAGAAATCAACAACAACAACAAAAATGCTACAGAAAGTGACCAAAATGCCCCAGGTATTAAAATTGTGTCTACATTGCTCTGTTAGTTATCTATTAACTAACATTTGATATATTACATAATATTCTGTTCTTGGTCTATTAAGTTACAGGTTGGCCATTTGATTAAATTTATTCAGTTGAAGTATTTCACATTAATGGACCACATGATGTTTATTATACAGTACGATCAAAAATATGCCATCAGAAAGGTAAAAAAAAACACCTTCAAAAATCAATTTCAGGGGGACAATTATCACTCCCTAACAATTTCTGACACTGGTTCTGGCATATTTTTTCAGACAGAATTTGGGTTCACAAACATGTAGAGTTTGTTTCTGGCCTCAAGGTGTTTTCTTACCGACTCGCTGTCAGACACAGAGGACAAGCGTGTCTTCCCGGCACGGTGCAGGTTGCTGCTGGTCTCTGAGGTCTGGCTTGTCAATGTGGAGCGTCGTGTGGACATAAAGCTACTGCTGCTGAACCGGTCTCTACGAGGCACACACAGCAGGACTCCCAGACATGGTATATACTTTGCAATGGCAGACCTGAGAGAGAAGTGATGTGTGAAAGAAGGACAGGAACATTGAAAGAGGAAACTGCAAACTGCAGTTCACATCAACTTTCCATAACTGTCTATGAAATATTAATACCCTTTTTTTGTTAAAAAAGCCTTACATTTTCAAGGGGCAAAGGAATTTGGTACTCATTGTGCCCTATGTCAAAACCAAACTTGACAGCTCAAATCAATCCTTCCCAAGGATGCCATTATTTCCAGGCGATAAGAATTTAGGTGCTTCATCATGAGGCATTAATCTTCAGATCTGTTATGAGCAGCACATGGCCTAATGCATCCAGAGCAGATCAATCTGAAGTAAATCTGACTTTTAAAGGTCAGAATCTACCTCTGTCATCTCAAGGTACTTGTGCCTGCACTCTGTACACAAAACCGCTGATCGATTTGGGTCTGCCTGGCCTTGAAGCACGCAGCGTGCATGTTTGTGGAACAATGTTTCATTTCACTGGACAGGTCTCTTGGTATTGGAAACTAGGCTGTGCTTCAGTGCTTCAATATGCAGCCGAGGTATTTCAATTTTAGTGAGCAATGTAAAATATTGCCAGGATTTTATTTTATTTTTAACAGAAATTTCTAAATAAATACACTGCTGTTCAAAAGTTTGGGGTCTGTAAGATTGTTTTAAAAAATAAATTAATACTTTTATCCAGCAAGGATGTATTAAATTGATCAAAAGTGTCAAGAAAGATATTTAATGTTACAAAAGATTTTTATTTCACATTAATGCTCTCTTCATTAATGTTCTATTCATCAAAAAAAAAAATGCAGCACTATTTTCAACATTATTAATGAGAAATAAGCACCAAATCAGCATATTAGAATGATTTCTGAAGGATCATGTGGCACTAAAGACTGGAGGGTTAAAAAGTCAACTTTGTCATCGAAGGAATGAGTTAGATTTTTAAAAAAATATATAGAAAACAGTTATTTTAAATTGTAATAATATTTCACAATATTATTATTTTTACTGTATTTTAGAAAAAAATGGCTTTGTTGAGCATGAGATGTCTTTTGAAAACAATTCTAAATTCTAAATTCAACCTTAAACTTGTAAACACTAGTGTGAATTCAGGACTTTTATATAAATTACATATCAGTTATTTCTTGCTCTTGTTCACTATGAGGTCACAGTATAATTCATATAATTGTAATAATTTGTCAAAATGACTGCGAATGTACATCAACTGATAGCCATGAATATTCATCATTCTCTTTAAACACAACAGAATAGACAACTGTTGGTAGAAAGGTTTACGCTGAGCATCGTCACACCTGTATTTGGGGTGAGTGATGGCATAGATGATTGGGTAGTGGATGGAGGATGCTTTGGCAATCACAGCAGGCACAGAGTTCATGTAGCTGTGGAAAGAGTGAGGAGACATAACATTACACTTCATTATAATGCTTTACTTTCATCTAACCAGCATGACATCGCCTCGCAGCTCCACACAGACATATTAGATTACAAAGAGGCGGTAAATTAGTAAAACCATTGAGTCCTTGAAGGAAATGAAGCAGCAGGTACGTGGCGTATGTGATCATTAACCTGTCAAAGGGAGTCTGATGAAAACAGCTCAGAGAATTTCATTCACAGTCTGTGACACATTTTCTCTGTGAGGGTGGATGGAAGAAAACAGTGATGGAAGAAATCATGTCTTTACATATATATTATATATTAAATCCTAAGAAACGTTCTTGTCAGCAATCTAAAATATTTATTTGAAGTATCCCCTGAAATTTTAAAGTAATATTTGAATAAATTAACAATACATTCGCATGTTCTCTGATGTTGGTTTATATTATATTATATTATATTATATTATATTATATTAATTTAGTGCCACAGTTATCAAAAACTTTTCCTTATCTACTTATATCTACCTTGAAAAATATCTACTTCTCACACGGAACACACTGTACCTCATGATGATTGAGATGAATGGATAATTTTTATCATTTTTAATTTAAAGCTATCTCTGCTCTTTTTAATTTGACATATTTCCACCTTGAGTGTCTAGACAGTCTTTGTACTTGTCTGAACAAGTAACTAGAGCTTTTTTATTCTTGCACTAGCAGTGTGTGTAAGCATAGTTACAGTGACAAGTGAAGTATGACTTTATCCGTCAAATATTTAGCTGTTTTAGTTGCCACAGGTAACTATAAATAATAAAAAAGCAATAAATAAAACAAACCAAAAAAAATAAGCTAATGTCAACACTAATTAGCTACCATCATCAAGAAGGATGTAATAAAAGCAATGGATTGTGGGTGCAAGACATACAGATTCTCACACAGCAAAAGCAGTAAGAGCCACACAGGAATACGGAGACCAGGAGATGACATACAAAAGGATCACTATGAGTGCTATCTTTGCCATCTTCCATTCATTCTTCATTCGATGCATCTTCTTGATAGAGTCTCTGGGTCCTCCTTCTCCATTGATTTTTCCCACAGCTCTGTTATTCCCATCGTACAGATGTGTAAACAAACAGATAGATACAGTACACTCAAGAAGAGACAGCATATACATCAGTTTACAAAGCCGAGGTATTTGTATCACTGTAACATAGCGTTAATCTAAAATTGATCTCTTATTGATAAATAACACTCCTCTTTTTAACAGAAAAAACTGTATTTTTCCTCTTTCCGGCCCAGAAACATGGTCAAATACGCTTATAAACATGGTAAAAGCATGTACCTGTTGGTATCTCGGATGGCCCTGAAGATGAAGAAGTAGCAATACATGATGACAAAAAGGGGGATGAAGAAAACAAAAGTAAAGAGCAGCATTGTGTAGGCTCGTACAGAAGGACTGAAAGTCATGTAATCCCACAAACAGGATGTCAGCAGACCTTCAGGGACATACGCACCTGAGAATATAAAATACAATTACATGCTTCTGCTTCTAAAATGAGGAGGTACAATTTCCTTTCTAACAAATGAAGGATATATACATTATTCAATCTTGAATTTCACAATTAAATGCCTCTCTTTAAGTGAGTGATTGTAAGCACTTACTCCATCCAAAGAACGGAGGCAGGCTCCAGCCCATAGAGTACACCCAAGCAGCAGAGAGTATCAACAGGGCTCGTTTGCGTGACATAACACCAATAGAGGCCAAAGGACGAGTGATCACAAAGTATCGATCTACTGCAATAATCATGAGTGTGATCATTGAGCAGATACCAAACAGAGCGCCGCAGAATGCATATAACTCACAACCTGTGGAGAGAGAGAAATACTGTAAAAAGAAATATGTTAAAGGAATAGTTCACCCAAAAATGAAAATTTACTCACCCTCATTTTTTTTTTTTTTTGATTGGTACAGATTTGGAGAAATGTAGCATTACATCACTTGTTCACCAATGGATCCTCTGCAGTGAATGGGTGCCGTCACCCATATAACATTAAAGTTACCCACACGACTCCAGTCCATTAATTAATGTCTTGTGAAGTGAAAAACTGCATGTTTGTAAGAAACAAATCCATCATGGCATTTAACTTTAAACTGTTGCTTCTGACCAAAATACCTGTGCAAACTCCATCATAACATTTCCTCAGATTAAAAAAAAAGTCCATCCCATTTTCCTTTCACATTAAAATCCACTAACATATTTGTTTTACAATTCTTTTGGACTGTTTAACTTTGCTTGTAAATGGTGCTTGATCTGTGCATATTTCTCTCCTGATTTAAAGGGGGATCTTGCACCATTCTAAAGGGTTTTATTTTTGCAATAATCACTGGCTCACTGTACATTATACTGCTTGGTACAACCTGCTTAGCAACCTAGCAAATGCCTAAATTAATGTAATTAATACATATTGGATTAATATTAATATTATATATACAGTACACATTTCTTCTTTTATTTGGATCCACGAGACAAGCAACAAAAACGCAATCCAAATACCTTGGGAGGTCAGTTTGCAAAATGACAGGTACACATGGCTAACATACATTCACAAGTCCTTATATTTATAAGATTTAACACTCAAGGATAGACAAAACATCTTCGTTTCCATATTTGCATGCTCCCTATAATGGCTGAAACTGAACAGAATTTTGCGAGTCTTTTTGCTTTCTTTTTTTGCAATCCACCCAACTGCAGTCCTTTAATCACATTCTTGTGCACATGACCTAAACTTCCAAACACTAAGGTAATTAACTTACAATGATAGTCAAGTTGATGGATAGCTTCAACCAATGGCTGATATGACACACACTGAAATTTTCTTATAAAATGAGCATTTTTAATCACTCTCTATTAGTGTTGTAGTCAAGACCACCTAATCCGAGACCAAGACAAGACCAAGACTTTGAGGGGTCGAGACCGAGTCAAGACCAAAACCAGACCAGCATTGCTCAAATTCATCTAAAGGTTCCACATTTACTGTCTGAGAAATACCTTATTTTTAACAGATGCTGGGACGTTTTAAAAAGCTTAATGTGGCTTTATGCATTGAAACAGTGTTTTTAAAAGACCAAACTCAATAAACACATTATTAATAAATCATACTATACTGTACATAGTTTGATTTATTAATAATGTGTTTACTGAATTTGGCATTTTAAAAACACTGTCTTAATGCATTAAGCCACGTTAGGCATATTCCTTATGGGAGGAAAACACTTTACGTTTAATTAAACGCGTTGCGTTCTTATTCTGGTCTCATCTGCTTGTCTGTACATCGTATGCTTTATTAATAATGTGTTTAAATTATATAATATATGTTTTATGTATGTATTGATAAGCGAAGTACAATAACACCGTGGATAAAATATTGACAACGAAACAATATGAACAATGTATGGCTGCTGGGGGTTGTAAGATTCTCAGTTATTGTTAACAAGGTGATGTCTACAAGATGATTCCAGGCAGAGAAAGCTTGTTAAATTCTGATCAACTATGATTCGAGACAACATAAACTCGTATAATGATTGTGAATGGGTGAAGTGAGTGGGTGCCGCTGTCACATTTCTCTTCACCATCTTATAAAGCTTCTCTACAGCACTGTGAGGGTGTTTTATTGAACATCATTCAGAGGAAGCGCAGCAGATCTCTCACACATTCCTCAGGTTGAATAGAAACCTCAAGAGAGTTTGAGTCATTCCACTTCATCAACCATCCAGCAACTACTTCACTTCAAAGAACACACTTTAAGTGCTTAAAAGGTTTGAAATCTAAACAAGCGTATCAGTGATCAAGGGATCCTCAGATGACCTGACATCTTCTGTTTTATCTGTGGCATTATTCGAAAGCCTAACATTAGAGCATCACATTAATCCCACACATGCTACTACTGCATGATGAATATGTAATCATGCAATTGTTGTCCTTTCAGGAGGGGTTTTTAGGACTAATACAAAATAATCCCAATAATATGTTTAAGAGAGCTTGAATGAGAGATTACATCTCTAATATATTGACTTTGTAGGGAGCTGTTCAGTCATGACTCGCTAGCTGCTATTCTGCACACAGGCGTCAGATAAGATGGAAGTAAGAAAACATTTAATATTTGAAAACTGTTTTATGATAGAAATGTTAAACTAACGACAGTATATCCAGAGATGCAAACTACTCAATTTTTTTCTCAAATATGGCTGTTTTGAATTGAAAATATGGTGTCATTTACGTGATAAGACAAGAAACACTTTTGTGTTTTGATAAATAAAAGTTCATGTGTGCATATTTCAAAATATTATTTGCAAATAGTTCAAAACGATTACTTCCCAACTTGAAATAGACTTAGACTTTCTTTCACCGTTCTTCTAGACATGGTTACAGTACAAACCCATAAAGAGAAAATGGCTCAAATATGCTAATTGTCTTCTGGGTTTTAGGAATACAAACTAAACAAATGTAAAATAAACTTTCTACTAAAATAGAAAAAGGTACTTTTTAATTAATATGTGCTACTATTACTGTAAACATGGGTTGGAAACACAGTCATTCAGTTTTCCTCTGATCAAATTTTGTCTGATTAGGAAAGAAAACGTCAGATTTTGCATGTCTGGTAATAATATAATGCAATAATACAATTAACAAATCATGAGACAAAAAAAAATAAAACACTAACAAATTAAGCTTGTTAGTTGTGCAAAAAGTGTCAATAAAACAGTTAATTTTAATTCACAGGCTTTTACAAAAATGTTTGTTTTTATATATTCTAGGATAATAAAAATATAATTACCACTGTTTTCCCCCTCAATAATAACACACTGGAAAAAGCTTGATAAAGCCGAACCTAATTATTTTCTCAGAGCACTGATTCATCAAACAGTCAGAGTTTATAATTGCACATTTTTTACATATACGCCTGCAGTTTTTGAGAAGAATATGTGCAGTTTTTGAGAAGAATATGTTCAGGCTAACTGACCACTGATTCATATCTACATCGCTTTGACCTCTGTGGACACTAAGGTGTTTCTTCTCCTTCACCAGGATATACAGTTATGCATCACTGCATAATCCCTCTCTAACTGAGATCCTTTATCATTATCTGTTATACTTTCTTCTCATGTGCACTGGAATCAGTCTCATGAACTCACCCTGTAAAGTTGACTTAGCATCTGTATGAAATCCTGGAAATGAACCAGGGGTTTGATCAATCACCCATGATCATCTGACATCTGGATTACCTTTTTCCCCAAAGATCCATCGCTTGTGCAAACTGGTGGTGAAGAAGATTGGCATCTGAGTGACACACATCAGAAAGTCAGTGACAGCTAGATTAATGATGAACATGTCGGCAGGTGTTCTCAGACTCCTACTCCTGAAAACATACACAAAAGAAATGTAAAAAGCTACAATTCAAAAAAGTTTAATTTTGATACATCCATCCTGTTTAAAAGAGCTCAACCATTTCTAGTAATTGTTCTTGAACCTCAGTTTGAGAAACCCTGGTCTATATCTTAGCGGTTTCTGTGCTGCCTTTGCAGTGCAACAATGACTCTAGATGAGCAGATCTAACCAGGATTGCATTGGTTATCACACAAACAACATATATCTGGACTCACTTGCAGAAGGCATACATGACCAAGAAGTTTCCCACCATGCCGGTGATGCCCACTGCCAGAATGACAGAGCCGATGGTGTAGTGAGCATGGTCTGGAACATCCACTGTGGGGAAAGGATGTCGAACATCCTGCACCATTGCCACCTGTGCACAGCAAGAAAAAAAGGGAACGCCAGGAGATCATTTCAGATGAGCACAATGTGCTACATTTACACAAAGGACACTGAATCTGAATACTTGAGCTTCACATTACTTATAAAGTTATAAACGTCTTAATTCTCCAAGAGACCAAATCTTCTCTATAATGCCTGTTTAATACCTCAATGGCCAGCTGAGATGGAATTAAGCAGACATATTTACTGTTTTTGAAGTGGATTGTGCTGTTTCATTCAATTACATTGGTGTGTGGAACTGAGAACACATAAAAGCTTATAGAATGGCAAGCGGGCCAGCTTTTGGTTTTTGCCCTTGTGTCAGACTCAGTTCTTAAGAAGCAATTAGTACATTAAACACTGCTGTTCGATTCACCAGTGTCAACGTCTTAGTCTGTCACTTTTAGCATCAATTTATCCATTTATACTTCTATCAATCCCTGAGTCACTCTATTGACTCGAATGGCTAAAGCCAGATAGAGCAAAACAAGTAGAATTGACACTCTGTAGGTCGCTTTGTTAGAGCATACAATGGGTGAGTAATACAGACTAGCAAATCAAGAGTGGCAATCATTCACATGGACAAGGAATGCTTAAAATACATACGCTTCTAATTTAATACATATAATACATTTATAAATTTAGTAATTTATTAATACGCATCAAACCTGAAGATTATGTTCTCCAGCATGATTTGAGAATGATCCAAAAGCATCTTATGCTTCAACAGAAAAACATCTGGCCATCTGTACAAAGACTTCTGTGATCAATGTCACAAAAAGAACTTATATGATTAAATCTACAAATAGTGCTGAAACCTAAAACTAAAAATCCTAAAACTTTCTGTTTTATCCAGGTTTAAATTGGATTTCGAATCATAGATTTTCAGTGGGATAAAACTATGAATCCCACGGTATTTCCTACAACCAGCTGTGAATACAATTAAGCTGTAAACAAAAGCAGGTGTGCAAACTTTGGTAAGATAACGCAGATCTTTTTTTTTTTTTGCCTTTATCACAATAGGACAGTGTAGAGTAGACAGGAAGTTAAGGGGGAGAAAGAGAGAGCGGGGTGGGAAAGGTCCTCGAGCCAGGATTCAAACTCGGGACGCCCATAACACAATGGTGTTATATGTCAACGCACTGCCCACTAGGCTATCAGCGCCAACAATGCAGATCTTTTTGAGCAAAAATAACAATCAGATGGTTCTTGTTCTAGGCCCCCTGCACAGTATATTGGCTTGTGCCCCCGAGAAATTGAGCTTTTTAGCCAATGCGCTATAATATGTTATTTTAAGTAGCAGATAAAAGAATGTTTGAACTGGTTGGACTTGACTAAATTTGATTCAAAAGGCCTTGCTTATACACCATTTAATAGCGTCTCAGAAAATGTATTTAAATTTTAAGTTTTAAATATATTCAGTTGACCCTTGATGTCTGTGGCTTTATGAAAACCAAAAGCACAAATTGCCTGTTATTTTTTCAGCTCAGTCTAAAAGATTCAATTACACGATAAATACATCCAAACAAAAGCCCTGAACAAAAGAAGGTAACGATCATTGTGCTTCAGTAAAGCTGGAGAAGAACCTGCACACACAAAGGGCTGTTTGGTTCCACTGCCATTACCCTGTATGCACTTTTGGTCAATCCTAACTTATTCTAAATTGATCTCCTTCATCATGAGATCTTCTGTCTCTTATAGGTATATATAGGCAGCACATTATTATGCATGTGGTTGCAGTTCTCTAAAACAAACTTTAACATTTAATTTCTGTTGCATTAAATAAGAGACATTCTCTGCCAGGATTGTTATCAGTTTGTCAATAAACTGATAAACCTGTTACCATATGATCAATAGAATAAAATTGTTTCCAATTATTTCACACCTTACTAAACTGACTCATGAGTCAGCAAGTCACTATGCCTGTCTATCCACCCAGACACTTTGTATGCAGGCAAGCCATGTGAGCATAAATGCATTTTGGTGCCTCACATTTACAAGGCTTTTTCTTTACACGCTGGGAGGTTTGAAGAAATCATGGTTTGTGGCACAGATGCTCTCCTTCTAACGTGATAATTCATACCTGGAAGCAGGTTGTATTCCTGGAACTCAATACTGAGACTGAAAATTAAAAAGCAGCTTCACTGTTACCTTGTTTTTTCCATGATGTTAAAGGAGCTCATTCATTAAAAAAAAAAAAATTAAGAAATTAATACTTTTATTAATTTCAAATAAATTATGTTCTTTTAAACTTTTCATTAAATAAATTCTACGGTATCATGGTTTCCACAAAAATAATAAGCAGCACAGCTGTTTTCAACATTGATAATAATAAGAAGTGTCTCTTGAGCACCAAATCAGCATATTAGATTTCATATTAGGATTTCTGAAGGATCATGTGACACTGAAGATTGGAGTAATGGCTGCTGAAAATTCAGCTTTGCCATCACAGGAATAAATTACATTTGAAAATACAATTAAATAGAAAAGAGTTATTTTAAATTATAAAAATGTTTCACTATATTATATGTTTATTATACTGTATTTATTTTGATCAATATTATTTGGGCATATTAAGAGGCTTCCTTAAAAGAAAACACTAAAAAAATCTTACTGCCCCAAAACTTTTTAACAGTAGTCCATATCTTATTTAGGCATATGCCAGTATCAAATTTTCATGTTGCGATTAATTGCTAATGCTTTTATCACGGTATAGAGTATTATCACGATATTGAAATTTAGTTGCAAAAAAGTGTTGTCATAATACAGTACAACAGATTTAATAACTTTTTTCTTATAATAAAAATAATTGAACATTTAAATACAATAACGCAATACACATAAAATGTATAAAGTTAAACATTTTACACAGTTTAAAGTGCAAAAAAATTACAATAACTACAATAGGTAACACTTAACAATAAGATCTCATTATTTAACCTTAGTTAATGCATTAACATTCACAATGAGCAATAGCTACATTTGCTACAGAAGTTATTATTCTTTGTTAAAAAATACAATTCTTAGTTCGTGTTAGCTCATTTAATAACACAGTTGCAACTTTGGATTAACAACTTGTTATTAAATATTGGAATTACTTAAGATTAATGGATGTTTGGAAGAATTTTTCATTGGCAGTTTATGTTAACTAATGAATTAACTAATGTTAACTAATGAAGCCCTAATGTAAAGTGTGACCGAACAATAAAGAATCAAAACACTTTCAAACAATATATAGGGCATGTTGTAGTCCAGATTAAAATGTAAAAACGTTTGAAAATAAATAGCCTATTAAGTCTAAATATGTAAGTATGTGGCGCTGTGATGAACATCATAGCAAATACACAAATCTGAATGGCTATTTAAATCATTTAAACACGATTCAGAAACAGAAAGTAGTGCAGCTGCTTTGTTTACAGGGTTTCCGGGGTAACGGCTGCATTTAAATGAATTAGTATTATTATTATTATTATTATTTCTGCAGTTTAGCGCCATCTGCTGTCAGAGAGTGAAAGTGCGCTTTCATCCAGAGCGTCTCTCACATGTTCCGCCATGTGCTTCTCATCCGCGCTTGTTTACATCAGAGTGCGCACCACGCAGCATACAGTGGTGTTGTGCATTTTGACCAGTTGATGGGAAAAGTATTCTTAAAATGCATTCAAAATTCGGAATAATTTGTAATATATAAATTATTCACGGTATTTAGAAGTGCCCACGATAACAATATCGTGCATATTCATTACCGTGATATATCGCATTACCAAATACCGGCACAAGTCTACTTTGATGATTGGTTGATATCAGAAGGGAGGCTAGCCTCCCTTGCAAGGGTTCTTTTCTCAACACTCCTCAGCGCTGAAAGTGAACACTCGAT